GGCGAGCGTTGGAGCCCGGCCGGAGCGGGGCGATGCGGTAACGTCAGCTCAAGGCACGGACTGCTGGGGGGCTCCTGGTCTCGGTGGAGAAGGTCTGAAGGCTGTGCAGCTGCCAGCGGGTCGCACACATCCTGCCCTGCATCCTTAGGAGGGAGATGCTCCTAGCTGAGGCGTACACGTCTCTGCCAATAACGTGTACTGATTTGGCTCTTCCATCACTCTCCTTGGAAAAAAAATGTGTGGTTGTGCGTGTTGTAATTTAAATATACGTATAGATTTAAATAAACAAGATTATTTGTAAAGATATCTGTAAAATTGAGTCTGACATCTTTGGCTGAGTTGCGCGACGCTGAAGTCAAGAATCTAATTATTTTCTTTATTTTTTAGAGCAACGCTCCGTTTCATCTTTTCTGGAATGGAGATTTCTTCTCACCAGTTTCACCTCTTGCAGCAACTAAATGAGCAGCGCAGGCAAGACTTATTCTGTGACTGCAATATCCTGGTCGAGGGAAAGGTCTTTAAAGCGCATCGCAATGTGCTGTTTGCCAGCAGCGGCTATTTCAAAATGCTCCTTTCGCAGAGCTCGAAGGAGACGAGTCAGCCGACGACAGCTACTTTCCAGGCATTTTCTCCTGACACATTTACAGTTATTCTAGATTTTGTCTATTCAGGCAAACTGTCTCTCACTGGTCAGAATGTCATTGAAGTCATGTCGGCCGCTAGCTATCTTCAGATGACCGATGTTATCAGTGTGTGTAAAACGTTCATTAAGTCGTCGCTGGACATCAGTGAGAAGGAGAAGGATCGCTACTTCAGTCTGTCAGACAAAGATGTAAATTCAAATGGTGTGGACCGATCCTGCTTGTACAGTGCTGGCTGGAGGGCAGAAAGCAGCCCTCCGCATTCGCACTTAAGTCCAGACCAAGGGACGTGTATGATGGGTGGAAACGCTTGGAGCAATTTCAGCTACTATCCGACTTCTCAAAGAAATGCCCAGCAGCAGCTGTCCAAACATGAGCAACGGCAGGATTCCGTAAAGAAATCCCGGCACCTGGGACTGCAGCAACCTTCTGACATTCCTCACTATAAATCAAGCAAACTGGAGGACAGGGCTGCCGAGCCCACTGGCCATATTGCTCAGTCTGAAGAGCAAGTTCAGATTGAAACAGAAGTTGAATCTCCTCACGTGGGATACCAGTACGGCCAAGGGTCTGACGTGATGCCGAGGAGCTTGGCTGTGTCACAGCAGGAGCATGAATCACCCCATGCTGCCAGTAAATCAAAGTCTTCAAAAGCAGACGAGCAGTACGCGAGCATGCCCTCGATTCTCGGTGTCATGGGAAGCTGGGCTGAAGGTGAGTTAGTTTTAAGGCTGTAGGTGCACGTTCATCTGTTCTGTCCGTGAGAAAATGTGCTTTACTGAATGAGCGTACAGTTGCCAAAAAGACATCTGTATTGTCCAGAAATGTAAGTTTGGAAAGTTTAACTATTTTTCAATAATTTTGAATTACTGAAGTACCTGGTTTATTAAAACTAGCCTTTCAAATACATAATCTGTAGTGTCTCCACAGCTTCATCTTGCAAATTTAAGTCGTGATCTTTTGGGCTATTTTTAAGCTCATTTTAATATAGCATTCATTTTCCTTTGTTGCACTCCTGTGTAATTTACAGGAAAACACAAGATCTTTGTGCTTGAAATGACCTATGGTAATATTTTTTTAATGAAAGTGATTTGCTGTTGTGCTCATAGAATGCCTTTTCCTAGAGCATTACATGACTAGACATGTTATGCCTTAACTTTATTATTTTTTTTAATCACATTTATTTTCTAACAGATGATCTGCCCAGGATGAGGTTCAAGTGCCCGTTCTGCACTCATGTGGTGAAAAGAAAAGCAGACCTGAAGCGTCACCTTCGCTGTCATACAGGAGAGCGCCCTTACCCTTGTGAGGCATGTGGGAAAAGATTTAGCAGGCTAGATCACCTAAGTAGCCATTTTCGAACAGTATGTATTTTTAGTAACTGCATGATTTGTTTAATGTGTAAATCTGTCTCAGTATAATTAAACACAGTACAAGCGTATCTGGTTGATACATTGACTCCTGTAAAGAGGTAATAGAAAATTATTTTGGTTTTGTTTAAGTCAATCTGAAACATAATTTATAGGAGAGGGGGTGAATTTCTGTGTTAATTGATGGCTTGGAAAGGTACTGCTCTATGCAAGTCCTGTAACAGAGCGTAAGTGGGCGATTACAGCGCCTGTGATTACATTTGTAATGTTTGATGACTGTCTCTCAAAAGGAGTTAATTGGACGCTACTCCAGCCCTACTTTTTGTCATCTTAAAAAATACTTCTTTGTGGATACGTTACCAAATTTATTCATTTCAATTTTCCCAGATTCATCAGGCTTGTAAGCCTATCTGCAGAAAGTGTAAACGCCACGTGACGGAGCTAACAGGACAAGTGGTCCAAGAGGGGACGAGACGTTACAGACTCTGTAATGAGTGCTTGGCTGAAGCTGGCATAGACAGTATTCGCATTGACTTGGAGGCTGAAGCACCCCTTGAATTTCCACAAGATGGGGATAAGGATTCCAGGTGGCACTATGGGGACGACAACAGATCTGATGTGGAGATTGTGGAGGATGGGTCAACCGACTTGGTCATTCAGCAAGTTGATGACAGCGAGGATGAAGCAGACGAAAAGGAAGTAAAGCCAAATATTAGGTAGTTGCAAGAGAAGAATTAGGAATTCTGTGTAAGAGGGAGAATGGACTGTCTTGACCATAAGCCCTCCACCAGCCTGTTGCTAATTGTACAGACACACACTGGTTTCTCTTGAACAGGTCCAGACTTGCATGTATTTATGGACATGCCATTGAGTCTATTCTGAGTTTTGTTATCAGAACACCCATACTTTGCTTCATTAGAAATAATCCATCCTTAAATGAAATAATGGATGAACAAGGAAACTGAAGTACTACATGGATAACTTTTTATAGAGGATAATGGGTCACTTCTCAAAACCTCCTTCAAGGGAGTGAGGTCTAAATACTTTAAAAAAAAAAAAAAGTCACACAGCGCTGCAAATTGCCCACTTTTTAAACTTGTAGAGATGTGGGGGTTATATGTAATACCATCTGGCGATATAAATACCCCACACACCAGAATATAAAGACGACGTCACTTCAGTATTCAGAAATGAGGATAATCTTCCATGAAATTTCATGAAGTCTTCATATTATGATAAGGAGAAAAGGCAGCTAATTAAGAAAAAACATATAAAAATGTTTTAGTACATTCATCTGGGAAAGCACTTTCTTGTAAAATTTATTAGAATATGAAGAATCTTTAGCAGATCATCCATTCAAGACCTATTTCTTTACAAGAAAATAAACACATGAATGCTAGTCCTAGTCAACACATCAGAGAGAAAATTATTACAAATATGGATCATTAATTGATGCCAGTAGATGTTTTATTCATTCTGAAAATTGGGAACTCAGACTGGGCTATGTTTTAATAAGCAGTAGTAAAATACTCTTTTTCTTTCTTTTTTCTTTTTTTTTTTTTTTCCTTTTTAAACCTCTCAAAAGTGCCAGACTGATGTGACTGGTAGCCCTCCATCCACAGCACTGCCAATGGCAGTGTCAGCTTCTCCACGCCAACATGAAGGAAACAATCCTTACAAGGTTACTTTAGCTGTTTTCTCTCTTTGTCCCCCGTTTCATTTGCCAGTAACGGTGGCAGAACAATTTGTACAGTATATATACTATATCATTAGAAATGGAACTGATGAGATTTTCCATCTGAAACCATTGATAACTCTTGTTTGTATTGACCTGTACTCAATTTAAACTGGTGAGTTTTAAGATGGAGTCATTATCAATTTATATATTCCCAAAGTCATTTGGTCACCAAGGGAACATACTTTAACCTTTTTCAGTCTGTACTATATGCCAATGAGAACAAGATGTACTGGAAGTTCTAGACATCATATTTGTGTAATTTTACCTATGAATAGACTACAAGAGATGAGATGACTAATGGTGAAGAAAGTTTACTTCTAAAACAAAAGAAGCCACTTTGTTTTGTTACTTAGTGAGTTTATCTTAACCAGCACTGTAAACAGGAGAGGAGCAGAAGTATGCTCCTGAGGTGCTTTTACTCTGCATTTTCTTGGAGGGACCTGAGTATTAATACAGTCTTCATCCTGTGATCATTGAACTCAATGGGTATAGGCTTAGAAAAACTTTTTTTTTTTTTTTTTTAAAGAACTTTGTAAGCATGTTTGGCTGAAACCCGGGGTTAATTACCGAACAATCCCATATATATGCTATATAATCTCTTTCCCAGGGACAGCTAAAAAGTCACTATTTTATTTTTATTTGTGTAAAAACTGTATAGCCTTATTAGTATGATCATTATCAGAGAGTGCAGCATTTTCATTCCAGGCTGCAGATGGCCAGCCTAGAGGTCTCTTAAATGACAGCTTGAGTGCTTCCTACTAAGTTCACAGTGTAAGCATTAGGCGCCCTTCCCCTCAAACATGCCAGGTTGTCAAGAAGCAGCCTGCTTATGTGTTCTAAGGAGATGAGAAGTGGTATTTTATTGTTCCTACAAAAATTATCATCCATTGGCTTAGACTTGGGGAGAGGGGTGGAAGGGGGGAACTTACAAAACTTTCTTGATGACCCATATGAAAACATCTTTTCCAAACAAGACTTACACTTGCCTCGATTTTATGTTGCACTTCGGTCAGCAGTCCACAAAGTGAACTTGATGTGAAAATGGCTGGTTAACTTCTTGGAGCTTATTACTCCTAAAATGCGTATTATTAAATGGCTAAGAAATATTTGGAGCAACCTTAACTAAATCAAATATAGAACAAAGAAATATATAAAAGAATACGGAATGACTTTGATCAAATTTCAAGAGAAAATGCTTGCTGAAATCAAATTTAATAGATTTTTCCGTTTCCCTTTACATTAAACAGTATGCGCAATAAATTCTAGGTATCGGTGCCTGCTGTCGCAGAATACACACTGGCCGGGATTAGTCTGTGTGTGTGTTTGGGGATGGATTAAAGGGAGGGGAAAATAAAGTGTCACTCTAGGCCTGAAATCTTAACTGCCAACTGTAAAGGTGAGACTATTAAGTGTTTCTGTATACTTGGGGGCGTTTTTAGAAGCAAAGCGATTTTTGGATCAATACTCAATCTAATTAGATACCATAAATCTAAGAATACTGAGGACCAGATGCTTCAGAAAAAGATGTGAAGTGACTATAGATGGGCAAATGGAACAATCTATTTAAAGGAAGACATTTACTGTTGAAATATAGGCAGATTAATTGTTGATTTGCCTGGCAAATAAGGGTTTTGTTACTGTTATTCTCTGTAGCATAAATAGGTATCTGTAGTCATTTTCAAAGTATCTTTTCCAGCTTGGACTTTTAGCTCAAGACTGTGATACCCATGGGTCAATTATGTTTTGTATTTTAAAAAAGCTACCATTTTTACATGTTGCCTTAATTTCAGTTGTTGTTCCCTTATTTTTGTATTGCAAGACAAGATAAATGTTAAGTGCCTTCTATCTTCTACGTTCTTCATTTTACATAGCCAATCATATATTTTGCCTGTTTTTCTCTAAATGAAAGTAATCCCATTTGTTTTCTTTTCATCTCTTTGCATTGCCTTTGATGACCGTCTTCTTCGTGTTTCTGTTAGGATCATATACCCCTCATTAGCAGAAGTAACATTTTCTTTCTTTTCAAGGAGGAAAGTAAAGACCATATAGCAGTTGTTCTCACAGAATTTAGTTTACCTGACAATAACTGCTTTGAATGTGTTCCTTTTAGAACTTTGTCAGGTCACAAGCAGGACACCTGATTTTTATCTTTAAAGGCTAGAGAAGGCTGTAGAGAACTGTATTGACTTCTGCTAATATCGATCCATTCAGATTTGTTTCTGTCCTGCCTCTGTACCTCCAAAACCCAGTTTGAGAGGCTGAAATTGTAGTGAACCATTGGAACGGGCTGTTCAGAAAGCAGCCTCAGAGATGGTTGTCCTTGAAGGCGTTCAGGACTTGGCTAGACAAACCCACGGCTGATCTGATCTTGGCGCTGGCCTTCTTCCTGTGGGAGGTGAGACCAGAGACATTCACAGCTCCCCTATGACCAACAGTTCTATGATTCCTCTCCAATTACTTTTTGCCTTTTTTTTTTTTTTCCCTTGTACTTCTTTCATCTTCCTGTTGCTTCAAATGCTCTTAAATACTACTTCTTAATGCATGTTTTGATTATTCACTGGTTTTCAATACATCATTCTCTTGTCATTTGCTTTTCCATTCCCTGTTTCATCTGACTAACATTGGAGGGTTGCCCACTTCAAGAGACATTCCTATCGTATACCTCTACTTTCTGTGTAATCCTCGTGTCTTTATCCGTTTCTCTTCTCTGTCCGTTGCCACTGAAAGCCTGCCTCTTAGGAACATGGTTTAGCAGTGGACTTGGCAGTGCTCGGTCAATGGTTGGACTTGATGATCTTAAAGGTCTTTTCCAACTGAAATGATTCTATGATTCTTTTTGCTTGGCTCGTGTTTCTTGTGTTCACAAAACCACAGTCAAGAGCGAAGACATAGATTTATCATCCTCTGCCTTACTTTCTGACAACTATCTTGCCATCCTTTCAAAGGCTGAAATGCTAACTTAAAAAACATTTCTCTTTCCCCCTTTTCAGGTATTTCTTACAGAATTCTACCTGCCACATAAACCTATGACTTGTGTGATACTTGATTTGTTTTTCTACTTCACATCATGTCCCATTTTTTTGTTTTCCATTAAATTATCTAAACTACTGTATTTACTATCCCCCCCAAAAAAAGAGCATACCCCAAAAAACCACCTCAGAATGAATCTCCCTTTCCAACCTTTTGGTTACGTATTCTATTCCAGTTCTAAAGAAC